TATATATATATATATATATATATATATATATATAAGTGTTTAATGGCATTACATTATCCAAATCAAGTAACTCTAAACCACGGAGTGAGTTTGCAATAAAATTGAAACATTCACTTTATAGATTAAAGCAATCTAGGCAGATGTGGTATACCCACTTAAGTGAATACTTGATTGGGAAGAGATATAAGAATGATGAACCGTTCCCTTGTGTATTTATAAAGTAAACGAGTTCTAGACTTTCAATAGCAGCTCTATATGTTGATATTATGAACATAATACTCGAAATCTAAATCTGGGATAAAAGATCTTCGAAAAACTTGGTTTTGTCTAGCTATTTGAGCTAGGACAACGAGTTTGTGGAATATTATTCCACTGATCCACATACGTCCAGAAAATGATCAGGCGGTTTAATATGGACAAAGTGCATTTGGCTAGCACTCTCATGATTGGTCGAAGTTTTGGATATAAGGAAAGATCCATTCTGTCTAAAGGATGATGACAAAAAGGTGTTAGGAGCTGAAATTCCCTATTTAAGTGCAATAGTTGCATTATTGTACTTAGCACAATGTACTCGACTAGATATTGCATTCTCAGTGAACTTCTTTGTCTCGGTGCCAAGTGCCAACGCAACATCATTGGAATGGTATCAAGAATATATTGATACCTAAAAGGAACCATCGACATAGGCTTATTCTTTTCCTACAAAGGAAAAATGGGGTTATAAGACCTGCTAAAAGTATTAACAAAGAAAGCGTTATCCCATACAGTGAAACCCCAAATGATATATTAGTAGGCTTTGCTGATGTTGGGTATATTTATAACAACAGACTCTCCTTAAGATTTAAGTGAATCAAATAAGGTTTGAGGAAAACGTGACCGATTTATTTACCAAATCATTACCTAAGGCCATGTTTAAGAAACATGTGGAAAACATTGGAATGCGGAGACTTTCCAAACTCCCTTGATTAATGTATGTATCAGGGGGAGAAGTAGACAAAAGGGGGAGTCTATTATACATGTGATATTGGTATGTTGGTGCTCTTTCCTTCACCCAATGTTTTATTTTTCCCATTGAGTTTTGTTCCTTGGTGTAAGGTTTTAGTGAGACAACAATTTATATATCATATTGCTTTCCTAACACTCATGATTAGTGTATGAATCTGAGAGAATATTAGACCAAAGAAAAGTCTATGTATTGCAAAGAAACTTGTGGGTTGTACTCTTTCCTTCGTCCTAGTTTTATTTTTCCCACTAGGTTTTTATTTTGACGTAAGGTTTTAATGAGACAACAATTGTACACCATCACTCATTTGACACAGCACAAGGGGAAGTGTTGTAGGATAAGTTTGACATCATCTAAATGATATGGTGATATATATATATATATATATATATATATATATATATCAGAGTTAGATTAGAAGTGAAATATCTCGTAGTTATCTACTTGTAACTCATCCCTATAAAAAGACTTATGATTAATGAGAATTACATATTCCTTCTCTCCATTCTATTGTTGTTCTTTTTCAGTTATTCTATAACAGATATGACTTAGTTTCATTAATAAAAGACAAAGATAAACGTAAGATTTTGGGAATTATCCATAAGCCTATGGATAGACTTCTAATATTAATTATTATACAATTAACTCTTATTAGAGATATTTAATATTTTTACACATCTTATTTAATTAATATTTTTTAATATACTTGTCTCGACTTGAGATCATGTAAAAACAGTCTGTTTTCTTGAGACTCGTTTGATCAAATTTTTGTACTTGAAACTTCACAACAAAAACAATGTAAAGGTTAAAAAAAAATTACCTTCACATTTTTCAGCTGTAAAGTTTCAAGTTTAAAAAAATGATCTCATGAAAACAGTCTAGTCTCATGTGAATCATCCCTACCCACCCATTTACAATTGTTTCACAAATATCGTTTTTTAATTATTGAGTATTCTCATATACTAAACCTCCAAAGATCTTAATAATACTTTGCATATAAATTTATCTACTTGAGCAACAAACTTATTTCAAAAAACGTCTAGCCCTAAAAAGAGATATGTAAAGTACTTACATTTAAATATGGTGGCACAACCGGTTGTGACAGGGGCGGACCTACATAGACCAGTATGGTGGCACAGGTCACCGCTTCATTATCCCGTGGTAAGAGAAAAATATTACGTTTCTTAAGTGTGTCACCGTACTGTTTTGTTAGATGTCACCATATAATTATAGAAACTGAAGCTTTTACACAAGTCTTTTAACGACATAGTTAGTAAAAGTTGCTCAATTTCTATGAAAACCCTGGTTTTGATTCCTACATTTTGTCTTTTCTTAGTTTTCAGCTTAAATTTTGGTTTTTTTAATAAGTTATAAAAAAAAGTACAACTTGGACTCGAACATGAATCCTTTTTGTACAAGAACAAAAAAATAACCAATCAAACTATACTAATTTGTAAATATTCAGCAAATTTGTTTTTAATATTAAAATTGTGGCACCACCCAAAAAAAATTTGGGTACGCCTTTCGGTTGTAAACGGACTAGCAAGGACTGACCGACTAGGATCGGTTAAAGGTGTAGTCAACTTGATTTTTTTTTTGCCTACTTTTTATATGTAAGTATGCATTCATAAAGAAGCAGCCTTCCATCAAATTTATGGTGTTAAAAAAAACCGTTATACTGTTCAAATCGGTTGAACCAAATCAAATTGAACCATTTTTGATGGTTTGAGTGGTCTGACAATTCGGTCAAGTCTGAAAAACAGTCAAACCACTCAGTCTGATCTAGTCTGCAGTTTGAATGTTTTTTTGAGCGGTCTGGATCAAACCGATCGTCTAAATACACACTTAATTATATTTAGTTTTCATGTTGTAAGTTTAACTTCTATGGGTCACTTGAAAAAATTTCATCCAAGACATTATGTTTTTAGTTTTCATTTCTTAATTGACCGCAAATTGAATTTTTTTTGAAATCCGTCAAAAATCAAATTCTAAATTGCTCAATGTTGTCCAAAATTCCGACTATTGTTGATGGACTTATCTAACTTTTTTTCAATTTGATCAATGTTTTCTTTTAAAATTCGACATGGTATTACTTGATAGAAATTTCATTTTAGATATTGATGTTATGTTCATTTTAATTTAAAGCCCATAAAAGGCCCAAACCGTCTAATCGGGTCAGACCAGACCGATTTTTATATAATCTGGTTTGTTCACTTGCTGCTAAACACTTGGTTTGGAAAATTCCTAAACCGCCGTTGCGGTTTGGTTTGTTGTTTGGATGGTTAAACAATCCGAACCAGAACGCAGGTCAAATGAAAACAAGATGCACCAAGATTCCACAAGGGTTGGGAAGAAAAGTCTTCCTACAAAACTTTGCTTTTCATGAAAGATAGTTTTCTTGACTCCCAACACATGATATTAGCATTCTTGTGGGTAAACAAAAAAAAAAATTCACTGTCCTAGGAGTTGAAATTTAGAAAGTCAAACAGAAAACACCGAAGAAACCTTGAAGGCCAGCTCAATAGACAAATAATTGGAAGTCTTTGGGACTCCTCCTCATAGGTCGACTGATCATGTCTCCTCAAAGCTATTGGAGATTTTCCTGACTGATAGCTTTAGGGTCCCATAGGATTAGTCGAGATGCGTGCAATCTGACTCATACAAGAAACCAAGCTATGAGTGGTATCTGTACCCTTTTATACAATTATATGGTCATGGACATTTGTTTATCTGATGCATGCCAAGAAGCAGCAGATATACTTCTTACATGATTCTATACATTGAGATCATTTATATACATATAATATATATATATATATATGCAAAACATCAACTTGCTTAAGAGAAATGAAATGAATTCAGATTTCTTGTATACAGCAGTAACAGAGTGTCGAACGAAAGAAACTTACATCAGTTTCCCATGTTTGGATCATTGAGCAACCGGCAGCTGTAAACTTCCTTCTGATGATTTCGGTTTCACAACAAAAGGCAGTTTGATTTCTTGTGGGGCCTTAATTTCCGCTGATACCTCTCGGAAAGGTACTTCGAAAACAAGAGATTGATATAAACAAACCTCATCTTCTTTGCAGTAGTATACCTGCAGCAGAATACATATGTTCGTTATCGAATCCACCAAGTGTTTGCTTCCAATAACATTTTTGCAGTATCTTTTACAATGTATATATATATATATATATATATGCATATATATATATATATATATAGAGAGAGAGAGAGAGAGAGGGGGAGGTTCAAGGGAAAACTCCCAAAAAAAGAATAACTGAGGAGGAGCACCCTGATAACCATTCATTTGGACGGAATGTACATGTGCATACCGTCCAAGTTACTAGGGTGTTCTTTAGTTTTTCATTTTTTGGGGGTTTTCCACTGAACCTCCCTCTATTTACATATATTGAGAACAATAATCGTTTATCCTCAATTCTCAATTTCTCTTAATATTAAGTTAACGTTGTAATATTTTTGTTGAATTATATAATATTTATATACGACAAATACTCACACAACTGACACAAAGGATTTTATTTTGTAAAGGGACACTGCATACCTTACAATTAACCCTACTCAAGGTCGCTGAAGGAGCGGATCTTCTAAAATGTAAAATTGCAGTTCCATCTGGACTGAGATTCCCATCCAAGGGATCGACAACTGCTGCATCTTCAGGTTCAATTTCAACACTGAATTTGGATCGTGCTTCCTGCATATTAAAAGTAGAACCAGTTTATAGAGTAAAGTGATGATAGGCTAAAAGTTTCTTGTATATAAGATAATGGAACACACCATTTGTAAATAATTATAAAAGGAAGGTAGAGGACTAGAGCTATTTGTTGGGTAAGGTACTTTAGAAGCTATCTTAAAGATGGTATTTTCCACACCATGACGTAAATGGTCTCACGAAAATCTATCCCCAGGAGACAATAGCCAAATTTTAAGACAGGGGTCGTTTACCAAACACTTATCAGGTAAGCACTTACTGGCAAAAGAAATCACTCGCTTACCTTGTCGTGCGACATTCTCAGCCATCAAAATGGATTGTTGGTAAACATCTTCAACCCGGTTAGAGCTTACTGTGTAAGAGTCTTTTCCCTCACTTACCCGGTAAAACTCTTCGTCCTTACTATGCCTCTTACCGGGTAAGATTTTCGGTCTTTGTCATGCTCAATCGGTAAGGTAAGTAATATCTGTAAGCGCTTACCCGGTAAGTGTTTAGTAAGGGGTTGTTTACTAAACGATTACTGCTTCTTACCGTGTAATTACACACTTATTGCCTCTTACCATGTAAGAGATGCTTACCCCATCGGAGATATTGGTTTCTTACCGTGCCATTTTTTGCTAACCGAGAATCTTACCTGGTGAGGGTGGTGACTCTTACCCTATAGAGATGCTTATACTATGTTATTTTACCTTATCTGATAATGTAAGTAAGGGTGGTGATTGGTGACTCTTACCTGATAAGCGATTACCCAGTTTGTGTTGGTAAACGACCCCTTAATGATTACAATCCAAAAAACTCTCACAACACTAATAACTCCTTATGTTAAAATAGAAGAAATTTAAAACTCTTTTACATGGATATACCGTCTTGTATATCATATCGTCCGTTATTTATTTACTTACTCAAACTAAGGTTTAGGAGGCTATATTTTATGGTGCTCCCAACAACTAGTTATCAAACAGGATAGGACTGAGCGGGAAAAATGCCTATTTTTTGTTCCACCAAAATAGGGAGATGGGACATGATTGGCAAATTACCAACCTACCCATGTCATATGAAAACCCTAAAACCTTCCACAATTCTTTCACCTGCCTATCTCACTCTCATCCTATCCAATCCTGTTCGCATGCCAAATGCACCCTAAAAGACATTCGAGCAGTGTGGGATAAAAGTAGTACACAAGAGGACGAGTCAACAACTTCTTTTTGATAAAACTCAATTTTCGGAATACTCCTAATATACACCAGCAATACCATATTACACCACAGTTCCAGGAATCATTATAGCATAATTCACCAAAATACAAGGGAAGAGAGAGAACGAACATTTGAGAAATGATACCCTTCTGGCACCGATATTGAAAGAATTAGGTTACCCTCATTGGATGAAACGCCATCAACCACGATTGTTTCTGTGTCAGCTGAAGTTCGTCTTCTAAGGCGCCTTGGAGATCTAGACTTTGGTGCAGGAGGCTGAACTCCTTTTAGCTCAAGAGTAACAAGTTCTGCATTTTCTTTGTTGAGGTCCAAATATCTAATTAAACTGTTATTCGTATCAGCTATGAATAGTCTCCCTGGGAATTATCAAGAAAAAATGGTGAATTTCTTGTTGGGAAAGTTGCCTGGTGACTGCATGTAAAAACTGGATCACTATGTTAAAGCACGAAACATAAGATGAAAAACAGATAAAGTAACATATCTTTTATCCCAATATATCACTAGAGGGAGGTTCAGGGAAACCCCCAAAAAAATGAAAAACTGAGGAACACTCTGGTATTCACCCGGACAGTATGCACATGTGCATACAAGTAATTGAAGTTGTTTCTTGGTTTTTATGTTATGCACATGTGCATATCGGACAAATTGGTTACAGATTACTTGTATGCACATGTGCATATCATCCAGATGAATGGGTACCAGAGTATTCCTCAGTTTTTCATTTTTTTGCGGTTTTCCCCTAAACCTGACCCTATATCACTATATCATGATTAATTCATTCAATTACGATTCACTAAACATGCTGCACTTGCAAACATAAATATAAACCCACACATGTTTAGAAGATTTGGAAAAACATATCACCTTGATCAGCTTCAACAATTCCTGCTGGTTCTGACAGCTGGCAAAATACGATAAATAAATAACCAATGGAGCTTTAAGCATACAGGAATACACTATATGACAAGAGAGGAACCTTAATTGAAGTAGTCACACAAATAGATGGAACCAATTTTTTCATTAATTCAGCTTTTTTAACAAGATAATTATGGGGAGAGGAAATCAATATCCGTTAAAATTATCATCATATACCCTAATTCATAAATAAGTTTAATCGTTCATTTCTTTAGATATTCTGTTCTCGAAAACTTAGTTACTACCTGAGCTGATGAAGCTGCTCCATCCTTAAAGCCAGCTTTCCCAGTGCCTGCTAATGTACTCACCTTTTTAGTAGCTGGGTCTAGCTTTTTGATCTGTAATACATGTGAACCATCAGCAATTTGAACTAAATATTAAAATTACAAGTGTAAGGGTCTGTTTGTTAGCAGCTTAATGAGACTCACTGTTTATTCAGTCAGCTATACATGATTGTTTGGTAGTGGCTTGATGATATATAAAGTGGCTTGGTTTATTTAGTAAGCTTTTAGGGGGGAACTTTATGCAGAAAGCCAATTTTTACAAAACCTGTCCCTCTCAATTAAAAAAACACGCTCTTTTCATCTATGAAAAAACTCACAAACAAAAACTTTCTCAATTGATACAAACAGATTAATTTCACACAGACTACTTTATCCATACAAATCTTAATGGAAAACCAACCAAACAGCCCCTAAGTCGTGTCACAATAACAAATACAATATAATGATATAGTGAACTCCATTAATTTCATAAAGTGTAAACTACGATTTTTCGTCCTTGTGGTTTGTTAAAAACTGCAACTTCCTTCCCTGTGCTTTTGAGATTACGATTTTTGTCCCTATAGTTTGCAATTCATTGCTGTTTTCATCTCTAAGGCTAACTCCGTCAGTGGTTTACCGTTAAGTATGAGGGACGGAAAGCACATGGATGAAAATAGCAATTTTCAGCAAACCACATGGACGAGCTATGCTGTTAAAATCGCGATATATCGGATATCGGACTCTGGAAAAATATCGGTGGTGAAATATCAGTCAAAATATCGGTTCAGATAATATCGCCGATATTTACCAATATTTCACCGATATTTTGATGGAAAAATCGGTCCGATATACCGATTTTCTATAAGACAAATGTTTGGGCTTTTTTTATTACATGTCGGGCTTAGTTATTTGGGCCTCTTTATTTGGTCAACCGGTCAACACATATATTAAGTCTCACGCATCTTCTCTTCTCGGTTCTTCACAGTTCACGCTTCTTCTCTTCTCATTTCTTTCACAGTTCACGCTTATTGTTTGCGATTAGCTCGTTTTTTAACACCTTTCCTATTTTGTTTTGTGAGACTTGTTTATGTAATGTTTTAGTTTTGAAACTATATTTCTAAACTCTAATTAATGCATATGATATGTTTATGGATGCATACATATAATATATATATATATATATATAATTCTAAGAAATATTATATTAACCGCTATTTTGGACCGATATATCATCGATATAACCGAAATATCGAATATCGGTCCTGATCGATATTTTGTATTTTGACCGCAGTAACAGCATAGTGGACGAGCAACGTAGTATCTTTCATTAATGATGTGGCATGAAGTCAATTGGGTTTCTGTTTCATGCAATGGACACAGCAGAAAGAACCATATAATACGTTTTCGCTCTGTCTCAATATGCAAAGAATTCCTTTTCAGGACGCCAAAAATAAGTGCAACGGTACCTTTTTTAACAAAATCTCAATTCAAAGTTACATTTTTAACCATAGGTGATCATTACATCACACTAACGCATTGATTTTGGTCCACATGATTCCTCTACTTTATCATTTTTAAGGACTTATAACCAAAATTAGGGTCTATTTGGTTGGTTTCCCATCAAGTCCTGTATAGATAAAGTTGTCTGTGTGGATTAATCTGTCTATATAGAATGGGAAGGTTTTTGTTTAGAAGGGTTTTTTCATTGATGGAACGAGCGCTTTTTTAATTGGGAGGAACAAGTTTGGAAAAAACTTGGCTTTCTGCATAAAGCTCCCTCCTGAAAGCTTACTGAATAAGCTACTTTCTAAATCATTAAGCCACTACCAAACAATCATGTATAGCTGACCAAATAAGCTGCGAATCCTATGAAGCTCATTAAGCTGCTAACAAACGGGCCTTTAGACTGTTTATTAAGTTCTATAAGTTGAAAGTACCTTGTGGTTATAAGAATCTGCCACATAGATTTTACCATCCTTTCCACATAAGACGCCCAACGGGTGTTGAAGAAGCACTTCAAAGCCAATTCCGTCATGATCTCCAAACTATAATATTACAAACAGAGTTGAACAAAGCCTGAGTAGGAATTTGGAACCGATGAATAAAACAATAATCAACAACCAAACTATAATGCATATGGTAGGAGCTAGTCAGTTAAACTAGACATACTATGCGTACTTTGTTCAATTCCTATTACACTCAGCAGAGAAATGTAAGAGATAAAAATCATGCTTGATTTGATTAGAAGACAAGATACTCGAGATTGGATCATGGGCTTGCTAGATATAAGGTAATACTAACTACTGGCGCGTAACAGATGTAAACAACACACATAATGAATACACATGCTTTGAGAGAAAATAATAATATTATTGCATGATAAAAAAAGGTTAGAGGGGTTTTTCTATAGACGAAACTATGTTTGGCAAAGAACCACAATCAGGAAGTTGATCCGAAATTATGGCAAATAGTCATAATTGATTATTGCCGAAATAGAGAAAATCTTGCAAATAAGTAATTAAAGAATGGTGGCCATTTTCCCCTTTCCTTTTCTCCTATTGGTCCATAAATGTATCCACTATCTCCTGTATCAGTTCCTCATCAATTATTTACCAGAAATGTAGTTTATGCTAGGTGACAGTTTTTTTTTTCTCATTTGCACCCCTAATATGATACCCAAACTAGTGCATGCTTTATGAACTTGTTAATGTTAAACAAGAATAACAAGAAAATTCCGGGATCAGTGGCCAGATACTTTTAAAATGATAAAAAAACAGAAGGAAGCTAGATTTGAGAGGCTAGCACTCCCCCATATAAAACTCACTAATTTTCTGCATAAGCATTCTACACCCTTCCCCTCCGGCTTTTTTGTTGCTGAACCCCACCGGGTAAGATTTAGTGCTGGTCCCCTCCTAGCATACTAATGGTGGACGGATGGGAGCAGGGGCGGACCCACATGGATAGATATGGTGGCACGGGTCACCGCTTCATGGTTCCATCGTTAGGGGGAAAAAAATTACATTTCTGAAGGGTGCCACCGTATTGTGTTGTTGGGTTCCACCATATAGTTTTTGAAACTGAAATTGTTAACACCAGACTTTAATGGCTAAGACGGTAAATGCTCCTGCTTTTGTGCAAAAGGCCCAATTTTGAGTCCCACAGTTGTCAATTTTTGTTTTTTAGCTTAAATTTTGGGGTTTTTTTATATACCTCGTGTTTTTAAAAATATACGTAGACCAGACTCGAACATGGGTCTTTTCTATGTAAGGATAAGGAATCAACCAACAAATCCATACTCTAATTTTACTATAGTCAAATTGTGCCACCACTTGAAAAAAATTCTGGGTCCGCCACTGGATGGGTGCATAACACCATGGAAGACATACCTTGAACAAATTGTCTGAAAATACGGGATCACCTCCAACTAGTAGTCTTGATCCTCCCGTTGTAAGATTGAGTGCTCGAATGGAGCTACTCTCACTATCAGCAATATATGCCTCTTTCACATCTACAATAGATTTAGTTAAGCCATAACTAATTAGGATGAGAATGTGTGCAAAAACTTTACTGACATCAACTTCTCTATAAGCTTAAGATGTTTGTTAGTGACGCATGTCAAGAAGTGGTTGGAGGAATTTTAAGTCGGCTAAGTAGTTGAAGTTAGTTGATACCTTGTGATGTGATATAAATTCAATTGTATATGCCTAGATCATTAAGACAATGACATAGATCTCATTTCTTTGTCTCTCTAAATATTCCTCTCGTCTCTTTTCTCTCTCTAGTTATTTCTCTCTCTAGATCTGAATCCATAAGCTTTTAATTTTAAGAAACTCCCGAACTATGCATACAATAGAATTGAATCTCCCACTTATTTCATTTTCATCTGATTTAACCATGAGCTATCTGAATTTTTCTATAGTTCAGGTTCCCCTCAGCAATTGTCATTATGATACCCAGAGCACTTACTGGATCATGATGGGACCAAGAATTATGCATCTTAGTTAAAATATCTGCAAAATGGTCTATGCACTCTTAAAATATGACTTATTGTAAATGATTACCCTGTGATAATGAAAGTCCAGATGGCTGTGCAAACGATGTTGTGGAAGAGCTGTCTCAATTGAATAAAACAAAAAAGATACCAGTAAATCAGAACTTCTATCGTAAAAAAGATAATGCAACTAATGCATGGAATAAAGATTCAAGCAGATAAAAAATACTCTCCGTCCCAGAAAGAATGCTTGGCACATAATTTAATTAATTTGTTTGACTACTGATCAAATGTCTGAAATGCCCTTAATAAGAACACACTAATATAACTTAGCAACGTATATCAAGTAGTGATTACTAAAGGGTAAAAATTATATTAGGATTGAAAACTTGCCCAAACAGGAAATATTAATTTTTTTAGGGAAACACGATATGGGAAGTGTTGATTTTTTTTTGTAGAAAGTTGGAGTCACATTCCATGGAGCATATCAACAGCAAAAAATCTAATGTATGCTTTTTATCTCATTCGGAAACCTTTAATACTTGCACAACGTGGAGGAGTAAATGTATAGTAACTTTATTACAATGTTTTTTATTGTATTCATGGTTCTAGATATACCAGGAAAGCAGGTGGCTGTCAAACATCAAACTGAACAATATAATAAGAATAATAAACAAGCATATTACCTTGAACCATTTAAGTTTCTTTCATAACCATCACCACTGAAAGCTTTTGTAACCCCATCTAGTGTACTATGCTCCCAGATTTGATGTTGGCCAGCCATTGCAATGTACACAGTCTGATTTACAGGCTCAAAGCAAACATCCCAAGGAGAATTCAGAAGCTGAAAAATTATTTAACATATTTAGTTTTAGATTACTCATACGTAGGAGTTGATGGAAAGACAAATTACATATATTTGGATTGCCCGGAGGTAACTAAACCGTCTATGGTGTCTTATATAAATGGCTGAGGCGTGGTGCGGTGTGGTGGTGAGGTCAAACCTCAAGCCTTACATGCCACGGCAAGGAAGTGGCGGTTTTCAAGGCATGACCTAATGCGGCAAATTTATATGCCAAATATAATAAGGTCAGGTTCAGGGGAAGACCGCAAAGAAAATGAAAAATCGAAGAACACCCTAGTTAACCATTCATCTGTGCAATATGCACATAATTTGTCCGGTGTGCATAACGTGCATAACATGCACACGTGCATAGAGACCAGGAAACATCTTCAATGACTTGTATGTATATGTGCATACCAACAAATGAATGGTTATTAGGGTGTTCCTCAGTTTTTCATTTTTTGGGGGGTTTTCCTTGAACCTCACTCTTAAATTATATATAAACACATATATGTTATCTACTATCATTTAATGAGATAAATTAGATTAAACAATTTAAATTCATATTACAATAAGAAAAATCGCAAATATTAATAGCATATAAAGAGTCTATGCTCAAAATTCAAAATAGAACTTGGATAGGTTTTATAGTTTTTTTTTAAAGGTGAGTCCGTAACTTTTACGTGTGAATCCATGACTCCGAGTGAGGCAATTACGTAATATGTAAAGTGTAAAACCTAGAATTAAAAGTGTAAAACATAAAAGGTAAAGAAAAACTATAAATTAAGGGGGAAAAGTCGCGCCTTGTAATAAAAGTAGGCCATGGCGGCTTGTGATCAACGCTTACACAAACGCTATAGGCTTTAATGTAAAAGCGGAGACGCGTCTTACACCATGGTGTGCCTTTTATAACCATATTCCTCACCAACATAGTTAGAAAATGTTGAGATTTTCAATTTTCCTAGTTTGAGTCCACAGGCCGACATACTCTTATGTATGCATGCTTTCCCTTTTAGTAATGACAATGACCTGCTTTCATGTGGGATATACTCGGTCGGTTTGATTTGGTTGGTTATTCCACAAAAAAAATTGTTGAAATACAAAAAACATGTCAATGTGCGTCGTTGAGAAAAACTTTATATGTCATAAACCAGAACCGACTGTAACAGCCTAATAAAGTGCAATTATGATGTGAAAACTAATGCCCTTTAATCTTGCCTGACTGGTTCCTTTCCCTCCCCCTTTATAGTCGGAACCTTTGGTGCCATTTCCAGCTAGAGTTTCCACAACCTCGTTCACAAAATCAATCACCCTACAAAGGAATAAGTATGTGATATTGAAAAGCCATGAAGATTTTGTATTTAAATTTGTATGCTACAAGATGCTTTTATGGGTAATTCATTTAATATTAAACATGACTGATGCCAAAGCTAGAAAAAAGGACAGGCAAGTTTCAAGATAACGGATTTAGAACCAAATGTCAACCAAAAACATGATGAAAAATAAATGTACATTAAAATATTACACAATGGGAGAAAACAAAGAAATGTTGAAGACGGGTAGGATTTTACTGCGCTCGAGTAGTCCCATGATTTCATTTACTTTATTATTCGTTATAAAATTCAAATATTAAATGTGTATGAATGTGATAAAGAAAGAGTGTACAGTGTTACACAAATTAAATTACAATGATATATCTTTTTACTTGCCACAACAAGGCTCATGTTATTTTACAAGTGGAGTTAAATAAGGGAATGTATAAAGAATTTTTAGTACGCCTTCGGTAACCATTGGATGCCTTACATGTGGGATAGTTGTTATGTTAAGTTAAAGTTAATAACAGCATTATGTTACAAAGAAGAAAAACAAAAAGAATCAGGCATATATGGGATTAGTAAGACCACAATCATCACACCTTTTCTCACCCATTACATCTTATTATTTATAGTTCCATATGATCAAAAAATCATGTCTTTAAAGCAACAACAAACACTACAATATTGAAATAATATATTTTGCACTTTATCACTACCTCAAAGCATGGTTCTCAGTATCTGCAACATATAGTAAGTTCTTTGTGGCATTGTACGCCAGACCCTACACGAACATAGAAACAATCACCCTTTGCTGTTTATTTTAACTCCTTTTGCATCGACAAAAACATGGAGTATGAAAGCCCAAATTCATTGGATATGTAAATTTAAATAGAAATACCAAATATAGAACTTATAAGAAACACATAATGTTTTTTGCAAGCTTGACCTGAGGGCGGTTGAACATTGCAGTGTCAAAGTTCCCATCACGTAGACCTTCTTCTCCCGAGCTCCCAACTTGAACTAGAAAGTTCCCATCTAGATCAGTTACCACCTGAAATTCAGTCCAATTATATGAATTCTAGACATTCACCTCAACCACTGATAAAGAATACTAATTTATTACAAGAGCGGTGTTGATGTCAAAATAACAATGAATTTTTTTATCATAATTAGGGAAATATTGTAAAAAAATGATAATGAAAGCGGCCAAGTTGGTGCCTGGTCTTGCAGCTAGGTCTACCCCTATACCTATTTGTAGGTTACATAAGCATGTAAGTTGAAGAAACATTGAAATTATATTATTGTATTTTTTAATGACTCATTGCGTTATTCCATTTTTGCTGTCATGGAAACATGAAGATCAAGAAATCCAATAGAAGACCGCAATACTAATTGGTTGTTCTAAATTGTACTCAAAGTAACTAAGCAACAAAAGGTAGAAGCTTACTTTAACATGGGTTTAAACATTTTTTGGTTTGGATTGAATTAACTTTTTTATGCGGAATAACAATTACCATGCCACTTTATTTATTAGTTTGTTTAATTGAATAAAACCAAATTAATCCCCTCCTAAACTGATTGATCGGCAAAATTTTCTGAAATGCTTAATTCAGAGATTTAAGTGAGTGATTCAACAGAAAAATAAAGGACTTCTACAATGAACCTTCATCACACATGGCATTGGTAGCTGTTTATATGAAAAATAAATTCTACTAAAGAAAATAAATTTGAACTATCTACGAATCTCTATGAACTTTCTGATAACCTTAAGAACATAGTATCTCAGTTGTAAGAAAGAACGAGATGTGTAGTGGAATAGAGAGAGAGAGAGAGAGTGAGAGAGATGGAACCTACTATTCGGTTATGGTTACTGTCTGAAATGAACAGCCGTTTGTTGAAGACATCGACTGCCAATTTACCAGGAAACTTCAATGGTGACTTTAACAGTCGAGGATCATTATCCTTCTCCAAGCTCAAAGGAATTGGTGTGGTGTCCAAGGACTTTCTTCTACCATAAAATATCAAAGCTGCCTCCACCAAATCATCGAGATCCTTTGGGGGTCAAATAAACAGTGGAAAGAAAATTACCACCTAAACAACATATCTTGTTTATACAAGGGCAAACATGTATTTTGTGAACGATGATGATGTCAGATTTGATGAAGAAAATTTGTAATTTTAGTGTTCTATATGGCAATGATGAAGAAAATTATGATTTTAGTGTTCTAAATGGAAAATAAAGTCAAGGAGGGTCCCATTTCTAGGTCCATTAATGGCAGAATTTGTCTTGAAGCATAAATTGGCCCAAAAAGATGAGAGTGGTCTATCACCAACGAATAAGTACAAAAGTACTTGACTACCCTAAACATTAACATGCACCACCATCTTTTTATAGGGAAAATGGCACAAATAGCCATTTCAGCTAACCAAATTTACCTCTTAGCCATTTTCTCCCACTTTTTCAAAAAAGCCACCACCTCCGCAAGTAAACATTCCTCAACTTGCGGAGGGGGTATTTCTTTTTAAAAATGGATGTGAATGTGTTGGTATGCATTGACATGACATCTCATCAGGCTCTTCCACCTGTGCCCCCACCCAACCATGCACATCACCATAAATATATTGAGAATGGATGGTGATGTGCTCCACAATTTGTGAATATAAAAATGGCCACTAACATGTGTGCTCTACAAGTGCCCACTAGCAAACTTGTTTTTTTAAATGGCCTTCTGCAAGCTAAGAAGTTGTTACTTGCGGAGGTAGTGACTTTCTGGAAAGACCGAGAGAAAATGGCTAAGAGGTAAATCGACCCATCTGAAATGGCTATTTGTGCCATTTCTTTTTATATCTTATTATGGGAAATTGGTTTCTTGGAACTAAAAATGAATACAAATGCCCAAATACACTTCATCCCGAAACTACTTGGAGCATCAGGGTATTGAAATTGGTAAAAATATGTAGTAATTTATCATCGTGTTTAAATATGCTTTTTTCTGTTTCTTTGAGGCATATATATATACTGTCACTAGAAATCAATACCTTGCGTCGACCTTCACCTGCTAGCTGTGCAAGGAGCTTACCCGTTGGTCCAATAATAGCAAATGTCGGCCACGAATTTATACCCAACTCTCGCCACATATACATATCTCCATCATTAACAACCTGGTACAAGATGATAGTCACAGGTTCACTGGTAATGATCAATACAGAAGGAAGTTATATTACAAGATAGGGTTAAGATGATATTTCTTGATTGACCTAAAAGAAGAACAAATTGAAAAGAAACTAAGAAAAATGAATGCTAAGTGCATACCTTGTGGTTTCAGTGAAAATCAGGATGACGACACCTAGACTGGTTTTTTTTTAACCCATCAATCATATCCATAAGCACTCTTTAAACCTCCTCTATTAATATGTATTCGTTATTTTTCATTATTCATTCTTTCTCCATGTGTATGTATGTGCACGTGTGTATATACAAATAGACAAAATAGTATAACTACAGTTAACAAAGAAAAAAGAAAGAAAGAAATGAAATAGCAAATAGAACTAAGTTGTGAGATCTAGAAAGAAACATTCAACTCTCATCCATTTACAGGAAGTGTACTACTTCAAAATGTTAAACCAATTACACACGTGTTATCACAATTTTGAAAACTGAAGTCGAATAATTGTACTCCATATTAAAGTTAAGTGAAATTACTCAAAGGAGGAAAAAAAGAGGGCTATATAATTGAAGTTCAAATTTGAAAGATAAAATGCTGAAGAAACAAATATGAGAATCTATGTAAATTTAATTTCAAGTCCAATGCTATAAGTTACCATGTTCAGCCTAATAGCTTACCGGATGAGTTATTCCGTAACGCAGTACAGCATTCCTAATAGCTTCCAAGTCTTTCTCGTTATCAAACTTTGCAGAGTGCACTCCAACGACAGTGAACTGCAGAAGTATAACAAAAATCAACGACCATAAATTTGAGTACATGTTCACATGCCTAAAAGCCAAAGGAAAGAACACTGGAGGAAATGACCAAAAGTTTGAAAACGTTAGTGCATAATTACATGTTGTCCAAAAAACCCAAGTATATAATCTATTAGTATTATAACTGTATCGAGGAAACTTTTCTATGTACGTTCATTTTGAGCAATCACCTCAATATATATGCAATGTTAGGCTTAAACAACAAAACTAAATCAACCTAGACAAGGAATCTAAAACACTGTATAACAGGTTATGATTACAATATATCTAACATTAACAGCCAATAATTCATGAGAAGAGTATCTGACGTCCTCTGGTACTTGCACTGGGAAGCATAAGATCAGAGTGTTAGCAGACTCTAAAGGACAACCAATAGTCTTTGCAAGTATCAACCAAACCAAATTGGAACATGATGTTCTAGAGTACCTAACTTCATAATACATAAATTAGTTGATTATTCACTTTTTACTTTCTTCTTTATAAGTATGTCAATATAATTTTATAGAACAAAAAGATATTACTTTTCTTGCACTAAAGTTTGGACTAGCTAAAACCACAAGGATAAGTGATTTCAAGCTCCATAAATTTTGTTAGCATCAAACATCATTAACACGAAATGACAAGGCTAGGATCATGCATACTCTGATCAGCAGAGAATAAAATAAAATCCTTGAAAATGAAGCAACAGAAACTTACCGGCATATCTTTGTACTTTTTCTCCAAAAACTCCAAATCAGGGAGCACATGCATACAATTTATACAACAATAGGTCCAAAAGTCGAGCAGAACCACCTTTCCTTTCAAATCCTGGTCAAAGGTAAGGCACTTTTAATACTGTGTTTAACATCGATCTTCTAACATGCATAAGAATATCCATCATTACATTATACCACATTCATCCTAAAATAACTGGCTTTTTTTTACTTTAAATGTAAAATCTTGTACCTTCCAATTGAAATCAATATCAACGGTTTCACATTTAATAAAATAATTTTTTATAAAATGTTCTAGTGCTCCTATGCTCTCATGTACTTATCAAAGAATTCAGAAACCAAATAATCCAAGTGAACCACATTTACCCTACGTAGCTGAAGCGGAGTTGTGTTTAGCCAATCAAGTTTAGCCGGAAACTCTGGAACGATCGTCGTGCTTCCCCTTTAAACACACAAAAACGTTCAGCATTTAGACAATTTAGGATGAAGAAAGTCTAACAAAATCATTGAGAGATTCTATATGAAGTGAGAACTCCTCAATTACTTGCTTTCTACATCTGATATATAATTAATAAATTGTTGGATTCTTGATGAGCGTGTTGCATCTGCAAACAACAGAAACGAACTCAGAAATTAAATAAAAAAGCATTTTTATGCCCTGTTTTTATCAACGGTGAACTGTAACTATATTAGGAGAACATCCATATTATCAAGCAACACAGATTCAGACCTTCACTCTGTCCGAAGGGTGGGCTGTTTCCTTTAAACAACAAGTTCCATATAGCCTTCGGAGATGCATATTGCATAGCCTGCAATAACCCCAAGTTCAAAACAGTTCAGCAGTAACCTTCTATGTTCAGTTTTCTTATTACATCTGTATTTTATTACATAGCTCATACCTTCAAGTTTGAAAAGGTAAAATAAAGACAAGATAATGCAATTCCCAAGCTTCCATATCTCAATATTTGTCGGCGAGAACCCTGCAACCTGTTCATGGATTATTTCTGCAACTTCAGTAGAATGATAAATTTGAATGATCTTTACATATGTCACACATCTAACTGATGAAAGATAATTAACATAATTAATGCTATATATCAGAATTACTAGCCTAATATCTGCACTTCAAAAAAATTAAGAAGCAAAGATAAGAGAATAATTTATCCTACATGAACTGGATGTCAAAAATGCATTCCCATATGGTGATTTGCAAGAAGAGGTTATATAGAGATTCCACAATGAATAGAAGCTAGAGCCAATCATAACAAGGTATGCAAAATTGCGAATTTTGAAAATCTTTGCAAGTGATGAAGCAATCCCCTAATTTTTTCTGGAAGGATGTCCCAGGCAATGCTTGAACTAATCCCGGCAAATTGTGGCTGCAAGAAATAAGTCATGATAAACTCAGTGGCCACAATTGTTGTGTACACCTGGAATCGAACCATGAGCGGATGGGATCTTCCATCACATCCCCAGGACCTCAACCACTGCCACAACCCTTGTAGTTAATCCCCTCATTCATGGTCTGGAAGGTTTGGACATATAGTAGCAGGGAACAGATATGCTCAATGCCAGGTGAGTCGCACACATTTTGTGAAGTTTTTGACCAAAAGAAAGATTGATTCACACTTTTGTAAGGTTTTCCACCAAAACGAAGATTGCAATCCTAAAAGTGTAACACCATCCAAATCATTATTGATGTGAACACGAACTTATGATATGAACAGGAAGAGATATCAGAGACACCTTGATCACCTTATTAATCTATCACACACCCGGCTTGATATTGGCTTCCCAATGGGTGTTGGAGGTCAGAGTATGAACAACCCATCAGAGGTTCATATTATCTAAAGATGACTCCATGAAAAGAACACTATATAGTAAGAGTGAACACAGATATTGAAGTATTTGCAAATGTTGATTGGGCATGTGACATGGAGGAGCAAAAAGCAACTAGTATCACAAGGAGCAATGCGGAAGCCGAATTCAGGGTGTTGGCACTAGGCATTACGATAAGCTTACTTGTCCATCTTTGCTTAGGGGTTGTCTACTAAACACCTTTTGCCTCGTACCGGGTAACTAAACACTTACTGCCTCTTACCGGGTACAAGACACTTACTCGTTCAGCGATGATGGTCTTTACCAACAATCTTACTATGCCATTTTGCTGACTAAGAATCTTACCCAGTAGTGAGGGTGGTGACTCTTGCCCATTCAGCGCTTAGTGGGTAAGAGACACTTAGATGATGTTGTTTACCAACAATGTTACTATGCTAGTTTGATAACCGCGAATCTTACCCGATAAGGTAAGTGATGGTGGTGACTCTTACCTGGTTTTTGTTGCTAAACGGCCTCTTAGTCCATTAATTTAGGCTGTACATTGTATTTACAGCCAAAAAGTTTCCATTGTCATTTAGTTTCCTAAAACTCTTTTATCTAGTTCAGTTAACTTACATTCTTATTAATTTCTTGACTACACAAGGCAAACCCGCACCTTTTTCCTAAGCTTGGACATTGGGATCACTCATGTAGTAAGATTCTAGGAACAGAAAGGTAAAGATCAATATTATGGACATCATTAGCATAAAACGGCAAGGGTGCAAAAATAGTTGGGAAAGGGGACAAAAGGGCCTCTGGCAATATATAAAAAAAGTACTAAAACCCGCAACACTGCATGACTACAAAGGAAGGGTGCCAAAATAGTTGACTGTTAAACAATGTTTGTTTGAGAGAAATCATAACCAGAAACTGATAAACTGCATATGGAACTCTCTTACCCGCCAACAGAGAAGACACTGTCATTAGTAGAATATGCTTCTTGGAAAGACCCACCCTCTGTATTTCTCTTGAGCACGGATGAGGTTTCTGCAGGATTCTTTACAGATTGAGAACCCTGAATCTTTGTATCTGCAATGTTCAATCATCATGGACCACATAAGGCCAAACAATTTATGGCATCATTCATTGTATCCCAGTTACAATAGCTAGAAGAAAATAATCATATCACAAACCAAAGCTAGCAATGAAAAATCATGTAATCCTCATGTTGGGTTCAGCAGAAAAAGAAAAAGCATCAAATTTAAGGAACATCCATTACAAAGAATAAATAAGTCTTGCTTGTCCAGTTAGCACTGTTTCAAATGTAGCATCAGAAATTGAAGTTTTAATTATTTGAATGAAAAAGAAGTTACAATATCAATTTCAGAACTACATACTACGGTAACTAGAGCCACCACCAAGAATATCTTGAAGTGAAATATTTCCTATATCCTTTCTGATTAGCGATGGTTCAGCTTCCTTTAAGGCATCTTCAGATAATGTTGTTGTCACAGCTATGCTTCTGCAATCAGAATAAGCACCCAATGTTGTACTAAAGATACATAAATCCATGCGTCTTGGAGACAAGATAACAAATAGTATTCACGTGGACCCTATCTGGCCATGCTAACACGTGAAAATGACTTGCCAAAGCAAACCAATAAGTGCAACAATAATTTGAATGCTAAGTGCTGAGAAATCAAATAAACAACTTTAACTAGATCAAGCACACATACCTCATTTGTGCAGCTTTGGCAGCTTGCACACCAGCTAATGCATCTTCAATTACAATACACTGGAAAAAAAGTGCAAGATAATTATTTTAAAAATTGCAAATGAAAAATGTAAGCTTCCAATTTACCTAAAGAAAAGATAAATCTCCATGTGTTTTAATCATGTATGTCTGAATAAGCACGAGGCATACCGGTGGAGCCTAATAATGTATGTACCTACCAAAATGATCCTACAAAGCTTTTACAGAGGGGCAGATTGGCCCATACCCAGGAGTGAACAATCATATCAATTTTAACGGCCAGCCAATCAGTGAGAATTTGTTCCGGGAAGACTTAATTAGACGCCGAGTTCGAACAAATGTTGACCGGTGTATCTAATTCTAATCATTCAGTTTCATCAGCATTTTATCCATATTTAAATGCACATTCACCTAGCACCATTACTAGTACTTTTCTCTGTTTTACAATAAGACTCAAAATAAACCCGGACATATAAGCAGATGCATACTCAACTGAGAACACCAGACAAGATTAAGAAAAGGGATCGTCAGAATAATCAATCAAGAACTCCGTTTCATAGCCCAATCAAACTAGAAACATGCTCCCCACCTTGTTTTGCTGATTATCATGCAAGAAAAACAACTAGAAATTTAGCTTACAATAGTCCCACCCCAGATTTGTTATAAAACAACATAGTGCAAAGATGACAGCTTCAGCATACTGATAGAAGGCTAGGGTTCAATGTAAAGAGCATCTGGCTCGTGATAGAAGTAAGGGACCAAAATAAAATACATATTACAGGGAACAATAGAGAACACATAGTACATAAAGGGCATAAAAAAGCATGAACAAAAGATCCAATATATCAAACAAGATTCTCAAACTTATGTGAGGGAAGTGTTCAAATCATTGAATGTTATAGAATATCATAATGTGAATTGGTACCATGAAATAAAATTGCGTAAAGCATGAGTATACCTCACTTGGTGGGACATTCAAAATTTTTGAAGCAGCTATGAATATGTCAGGAGCAGGCTTCAGGTTTTCAAAAGCATCAGCAGACACAATAGCATCAAACCTGATGTAGTGAGATTAAGATCAATACTAAAGCTGGAATACGTCTAGCACATTAACCAAACATACCCAAAAATTCCCACTGGAAAGTAGGGTTTGGGGAGGGTAAGATGTACGCAAACCATAACTCCACCACTAGGGGTAGAGAGGTTGTTTCCATGAAGACCCCCGGTTTGAAGAGCCCATGAGACATAGGAAAAAATTAAAAGAACAAATGAGCAAGAGTGTAGACGAATAGGCAGCAAGAACATTAACAATAAGTAAGTAAGTAACTAGAACAAAAAGGGGATAAATTTGATATAAAGAGAATATTGTATACAATATTACAATTTGATGATTATAAACTTAGAAGGGGTTAAATTTAAATATAACAATTAACAAAACAAAAAGGACATATCACGAGATTCAGTGTGGCCAATATGAGCTATATATATTGAGGACTCCTAGGAAAAACCAGAGAGATAAACATATAAATACACTCCTAATAAGGTGATGTCCCTTCGATTTCCAGAGTATTTCATTTACTATCAATACCATTCATATAATTGGGGATAAGATATATGGATAATTGTGCTTAATTCCATAGCATATATGTCATCTTTTCTTCTTCCTTGTACAGTTACTTCTTGTTGGTTGTACAACAAAGTTTAGAAGGTATACTCGATTCATTTTGTTCTATTTTCTTCTACATCTGACATCTGCTTGGCTATCATAGGTAAAGCACTTCGAACGTGTTCTAAATTCCATAGCATATATGTCATCTTTTCTTCTTCCTTGTACAGTTACTTCTTGTTGGTTGTACAACAAGGTTTAGAAGGTATACTCAATTCATTTTGTTATATTTTCTTCTACATCTGATATCTGCTTGGCTATCATAGTTAAAGCACTTCGAACGTGTTCTAAATTTCTCTTCTTGGTCACCAAATACATAACAAAAATTATCCAAAAACTAAGAGCCTTATTTTGTAGGGGCATTGGTTCAGTACTTCGTTGAATACTGAATAACTATTGGCTTTATACGTTTTTGTTCCAACTACAACACATTTAGACCAACTTTTGTTGGAAACAACACCTAAAACCATTTGCGGCCAATTGTAGATAACAACCTTTTATCCTAATCTCCAAATGTTGGTCATAAATATCAGTCATTCCCAACTTGATACATGTGATAGCTATGAGGTTCCAAAAAAAAATTCCTCTAGATCTCAGCAAAATGATGATTCGTTTGGCTAGGTACATGGAAATTGTGATTGTATTTATTACCTAATGGCACACAAAATGACAATCCACTTCAATGTGCAAGGCATGCTCACTTTTTGGTTTTTTGCGATGTATACATATTGTACAGTACGATCGCATAGACCATTTGGAAAAACTGGTTCACATAACATATATCTCATCCTTAACATCTCATGCAAAACATTTTCCATGCCCTCTCATTCTACACTGAAGAAAAAATCTTGCTTCCAAGAGTACCAGCAAAGCCCAAGGTAATCAGGTAATCTACATGGCAAGCATCTGAAAAACCTCTTACTATGCTTGCACTCTCACCATAAAACCTACTTTCCTGTGATCTAACTGGTGTAGAGGATGTAGAGTTCCTTTTGGACATCATAGCATACAAAGTACAGTGTCCCAGTAGCTGTTACAGTAAGCAAAGATAAAACAACTGACCACAGTCTCTCCATAACCAATGTCTAACTGGTCATAGACTCATAATAAGATAATCTTCTATCTCATAAAGTCGTGTGCACTTATCTGGATCCGCTAGAGGCCTGCCATCTTGTGGCACTAATCTGTCACTCAGAATGATGAATGAATGCATGGACTTGCACCAAAGAAACCCATAAACTAAGATAGGAGATCAATAGCATACTTTCTTCAGCAAATAAGCATCACTCTCAAGATCAAGACACCACAATGCCAAGAAAGAAGTTGCTGGCTTGCAGCAAAGGCAGTAGTACAGAGGTTGCCGACAAATGTAGGAAGGGATAGGGTTTTTTTCAATAGTAGAAACATGTCTAAGATATTATGTAAATGCCTGGGATTTAAAGAAATAATAGTATTACTGAGGGGAGAACCCTGTATATATAGTACATGAGATGGGATGGGCCTCAATATAATATATAAAGAACGATCACATCTAACATAACCTGTGACTCCCTCATTTGCAAATACATTGGTCAAAGTATAATGAACTAGTTTAAGTTTCGAAGTTTTAATCATGAATGTTTAGATATCAAAATTGAACTTTATGGCAAAAGTACAAGCTGGAAAATATTTATTAAAACATTTGTGATATAATCATATCAATTTTGAATATGAGGATTAAGTTTTACATTAAAACTCGAACTCTATATCTATGGAATGGAGGGAGTATTTACTAAAGCACTGTTGGCAATATGGCAGTCCATTGCTGATAGCATTTAAGTATAACAATCTATGAAAACAATTAATTATATTGAAGACTTACATTGTCAATGATAACCCAGCAGCAGCTAAGTTTGCATCGACTTTGATTCTGTCAGCACTAGATGCAACTGCTACTTTGAGGCCACTGTTTTTACACTGTTAAAATCATATTAGAAGATAATAACAGAGGTAGACAAGTAAGCATATTGAACGTGTTTTGGTTGGTCCAAAGATACCTGAGTGATAAGCTCAAGAGCACCAGGAAAACCTATTCCAGAATTTGGTTTTGCATACTACAACAAGATAACAATTTCAGATCAGCTAAAGAGTCAAACAGGAAGAAAAAAAAAGTGTCCTCTTTTGGACCAGGAAGAAGAAAAGTGCTCTCTTTTAGACCAGCATAGACCGATTAAAGGTTATTCTGAAAAAGAACGTTGATATTTAATAGAGGATATATAAAGTGGCAACAGAATTACGGCCTCCCTGTTTGGTATAAAAGTTTCTAGAAAATTGCATCATTTGATTATTTCACCATCCATAACAAATGAATATGTGAAAGAGAAAATGTAGAAGGTACTTGAAACAAAGCATTCTTGTTGGTACAGGTAAAAAATTTAGAGTCTTTCCAGTTCTTGAAATATGCACTTTCCTGAACCCTTAGAACTGGAGGGAATAACAGAATCCAGCAATGGGATAAATACTTTTATGGTGCCTCTCTTGTTTCCCCTTCGGATGGGGAAGTATATGGGAAACACTTGTCCAGGGTGAAGGCAAAGATAAATTTTAAGCCTGTTTGAAGAGGGGATAACGTAGTTAAATCACCTTATCTAGATATATCTCAAAAAACCGCTTCTTAGCTGCCTCAGGGTTGAAATCTGAAACACCCTTTACAGAAGCAACACCACCTAGAAAATTTGCCTCACCTGGTCCAAAACTTAGAATACTCAGATAGGGACCCGAAGTTTGGGCAAGTAAAAGATAAGTTAAGGGATCAACGATCCTCACTGCAGATGGAAACGTATTGAGGTACAGAAGGAACCATTTTACACCCTCCATCACAAAATAGGTGTACAAGAAATAAATCAAACCAAAAAGAGCCAATATATCCCACCGGAAGGTAGGGTCTTGGGGGTAAGATGTATGCAGACCTTATCTCTCTCCTACAAGACAGGGAGGTTGTTTCTGGGAAGATCATCTTCAAAGCAGAAAACTTCAAATCTAGTACTTCCAAATTAAACAAACTAACACATATTTCAGTGCCAATTCTTTTTCTATTTTGCAGTTCTTGTACATTTTAATGCAGTTACTGTCTCACTCAAACTCCAAAGTAGCAAGTTTGATGGCTGAAGTCAAAAGGCTATCTCTAGGTGTCTGTTACAAAATACCCCAAAAAAGAAAGCACTGATCTTTGTATCCCAGTATAATTATGTTTACTAGTTGCTAGCATCCTTGGCTGTATCTCCTCCTATTTAAATATTATGCCTCTCCAAAATGAAATTGACAAAGTGATATTTCCTACTGCCCAAAAATGCATATTTTGACTGCTAATACAATTTTGTACAAGGGCTCAACTATTAATGAAATTTCCTTCCATGGTGACAGATTAGAGAATTGTTTGGACGAAAAAAAATTGCACTAACAATTTCTAAATATTACAATGAACGAAGAAGCAATTTTAAATAGACATTTTATCAGATAAGGGAGAAATGCAATCTTTTTGGAACCCATGTAGGACAATTAAAAAGAAAATATGGTGTTTAAGCCTGTATTATCCTTCAGTAGAACAAAGGAAATCTTGTAATCCCCCTAAATATGCATTTCGAAACCAATGTAATTTATATCGGTACAGAGGTAGGAAACATTAAAATATCGCAGATGCATAGAAGACAATAGGCAATTGATACTCCATGAGCTACTAAAGAATTTGGAAATAAAATCGAAAAATAGAACTCAACCGGTTCCCATGAATGGCACAAAATCTTCAACAGTAACCTGAACACCCATTTCAGCAAACACATCAACGGCAGCCAACCTTGACGACTCTTCACTGTTGCACAAAACTCCATCCATATCAAACAAAACTGCAGACACTTTCCCCCAATCACTTCCCCCTTTTTCCACCACATTCATGTCTTCCTTTACGGTTGCCCTCACCATCAATCCCGAACTGCTGATTCCACTTACAATCACTTTCGACCGCCATTGAAGAAGAAAACTATGCTTATGGAAGGATCTAAAGCTCCTTAACAAGGTCGGAATCTTTGATTGAGATTGAGAAGAAGAAGCTGAATGAAGTGGATTCGCCAACAACTTCAAGGCCATTGTGTTTGTGCGAGTGGCGGGGAGTGAGGTGTGAGTTTGGATCAAATATTCATGAAGTTATGGTTGAAAACATTTTTCGTATATTACCAAATGGTCACCCAACTATTGTTCATTTTGAAAAATTGTCCTCCAATTAACAAATCTTGACAATTTCGTCCCTATTTAACACATTGCAATAAATAGTGGGTCTTGTAGTATACATTGTTTGTAGAGTGGGCCAAAATGGGTATTGAGGCTAAATAGGAACTGGGATCATAATTGCTTCTTGCAACCGGTCTCGACCAAAAACCCATGGCCCACCCTGCACTATGTGTTTTATGGTGAGTTAGTTTAACATTACTATTATGAACAAGTAATAGAAGAGATCTTAGGGTGTGGGGATTTGTTAAGATATTCAATCGATTTTAAGTAGAAAGCATGCTACAATATGGTTCTATAGCATGCTTTATAAATAACTTGTCCTTACAACCAATAGCTTCTTTAAGGTACTCTCTCGAAATGTAGAATAGCGTACAGTCATAGACTAAGCCTTCATATCTTTATGCAAGGCTGAAGTCTTGACACTGACTCAAACTATTCCTTATATAAGCTAAATGGAGTGAAAACGAGTCTCTTCGATTTTAAGTAGTTCTCCCGAGCCTACTTCCATATCATTCAAGTTGACATGTGTTTGTTGGTTTATCTCTAAATCCAAAACTTTAACACTTTTAACAAGTGATCAACTTGTCCATGGATGATATTTTTGCAACACTCAAGTTATATTTTTAGCCTACCATACTTGAAATAATAAAATTAATTGTATAAATAATAAAACATATTTAAATGAAGTAAATGAAATAAATGCTAAAGAGAATTACAAAGATTAAATAAGACTTCTTGAATTTAGAGAGAATGTAAAGATACTTTTATTCTTCAATTTCATAATCAAGTTAACTTCTAAATTGTTTGCCTTAAAATACCAAGTATCTCATCCTTTATATAGTAGGAAAAGAGGACATAAGGACCAAAAGATAAAGCCATTATCCAACTTTTTACATTATCCAAAAGATAAAGCCATGTTATCCAAAAGATAATACAAAGAGAATATTTTATCCTTCTACTATGAAATCTTTAAATCATCAGGAGATGAGTTGCCAAAAAGGTGGATAGGATATCAAAATATCCTCCGTACTATTATCCAAAATGCTCCTGGAATCATCCTCCAGCACATGTCGTAACATACTTCTACTAAATCACCTATTTACATAGCTTTTTCCCAAAAATTAGCACATACCCAAAAGGTAAACATGTTTATTACATCAATCCAGCTCCAATATAAAAAAGATACAAAAATAAAATAAAAATATTCAATTTGTGGAATTTTGAAAAACTAAAACAGATAAATAAAATAAGAAAAGGTGTAAAAGCATCAAATCATCAAATAATTTGATGCTTATATAAAATCCCAAGTTCTAATACCTTGTCATTTTAACAGTAAAGTTCCATTTTAAGATGTGAATTTTAATGCTTTCCAATTGGATGCTTGCGGTTACTCTAAACATGAATGTAGTTTTATATATTTTTCTAATAACATGCGATCATTATTGATTCTTTCATAAATATTCAATTATATCATCAATTATATAACAAAAGGTTACTTAGGTGGTTAGCTTCATCTATTTGCTTTAGGCATCCACTGCCCTTGATGCACACTTTGTTTTAACTTCAGCATCCATTGCCACTGATGCTTTAGCTTCCTCGTGATCATTTGGATTAAGTATCTATCATTCTCAACAAATTGCCACTGAAAATAACATGAACACCATTATGCCATACAACTAAAAATTTAAAAATGACTATAAACAAAACTGCACAAATTTGAGCATAAGGGTACAAAAATGGGAAAAATAAACAAGTATGCTGAATTAATGTATGACAGGATAGAGAACCCACTCACCAAAATTCCAACCACCCTTAGATTGGAACAAAAAGGTTGATAAGTTTTAGGGTAATTCCAGCAAAAATGATAGCAATTAACATCACAACCCAATTAATTCAGAACCATGTAAACGTGAATGAATCAACAATTTCCACACTCACCACTAGTCATATAACATGAGGTTTCCACCATCAAAGCAAATGAAGCAAACATCTTCCTCGCTCGATCAACTGTTCCTCGAGAAAATTGAGGGTGTTACAAGGATCTAGTGGCTTGAGTTCAACCACTATCCTACCGCATATATTAAAAATAATGCATCATGTGTCAATAGTAAGATACATCAAGGGATGAAAGTAAGATACATCAAGGGCGATATCACACACACACACACACATAAAAAATTGCTTTAGTTTCTATACTATCAGAAATAACAAAACTCTCCTCTAGATTCAAGTGAATCAAGTAAGATGCCAAGAGAATGTGACATATTTACTTACCATATCATTATCTAAAACCATATTTGAAAAACATGTAGAAAGTATTACAATTCAAATGTTTTCCAAACTCCCTAGATTAATGCATGAATCAGGGGGAGTAGTAGACAAAAAGGGGAGTCAACTATATACTAATATTGATATGTTTATGCTCTTTCCTTCACCCAATATTTTATTTTTTCCATTGGGTTTTGTTTCTTCGTGTAAGGTTTTAGGGAGGCAACATGTTATATGCCATCCTAGTTTCCTAACTTTCATGATTAATGTATGAATCTAAGAAATTATTAGACTGAATTAAAAGTCTATATATTGCAAAGAAGATGGTCCGTTGTACTCTTTCCTTCATCTTATTTTTATTTTTTTCCACTGGGTTTTTATTTGGACGTAAGGTTTTAACTAGGCAACAATTCTACAGCATCATCCCTTCAACTCGACACAAGGAGAAGTCTTGTAGGATAAATGTGTCATCATATAAAGGATATGTAGAGATAGAAATAGAGATAGAGATAGAGATAAATATTGTAACCACTAGCATAACGGTAAATCGTATGTTTTGTAGTGTCAGCTGTTATGAAGCCTCTTTTAGGCAAATGTTTACAGGATGATATAGGGGATCAATAAGCCTTTGGCATAGGTGTTACGGGCATTTGAACAACAAAGCTATTAGAACCATGCAATTCAAACAAATGATGAAAGGGTTACCTTAACTACAAGGGCAAATGAAGGTGTGTAAAGTGTGCAATGTTGGTAAGCAACATCGGGAGACCATACAGAAGAAGAGTTAATGGAGAGCATCAAAGAGGCTCGAGTTCAATCATGCAGATTTATGTGGTCCTATATCTCTTATATCTTAAAGTGGCAAGAGGTACATATTGGTATTTGTAGATGATTTTTCACGCAAGACTTGGGTATATCTTCTTTTTGAAAAAAAGACGCTTTTGAGATGTTTAAAAGATTCAAAAACTTTGTTGAGAAAGAAGTGGGGAATGCTTTCAATCAATTTTGTGAAGCACACGGGATCAAGAGGTAGTCGACCGCTGCTTACACCCCACAACAAAACGAGGTGGCTGAAAGAAGAAATAGTACCATAATGAACATGGTCTGATGTTTGCTGACAGAAAAGGGAATGCTGAAGTATTTCTGGCCTAAAGCTGTGAAGTGGATGTGTCATGTACTCTGTAGGATCTTTATGAATGCTGTGAATAATATGGTGACAGAAGAGTGTTAGAGCGGGATTAAGCCTAATGTTGACTATTTTAGGTGTTTGGATGCATTGGACACGTACATATACTTGAACAATGGAGAACAAATCCTGATGATAGAACAATTGGTATCAGATCAAATTCAAATTGATTTGAAGAAGATTTGAGCAAAATTTTGAAGTTTTTTAAGTTCTTGAAAAGTCGACTGTTTCAATTTTTGATTTTGATTAATTTGTTGTTAAAAAGTTGTTAGACTGTCATCATAAATCAATTATGTGAAGTTTCAACAACAAATGTGAAGATTTGATTGTTGAATTTGAAGTTTTTGTGATTCTTGAAGTGTTCGAACTCGAACACTGGTTCTTGAAGTTTTTGATCAAATCTTGTTATTTGATCCAATTTGATGTTAATTGTCATCATTAAATTTGTCTTTGTACATATTTTGACATTCATAACCAAGGTCTAATCATGATCTGTTGAGTTTTTGTGATTTCAGGTTTTATTTGATCAAGATCCAAATATATCGCATGTTCTTCAAGATATCACGTGTTCTTTAAGATATATTGCAGGGATCCAAGTTATCGCATGACAAAGAGAGTATATCTCACAAGACTCGTGTGTAAGTTTACTATTTATAGGTCTATATCGTGCGACATATATTGTTATCTCACGAAGAGGTGTGCGATATACGGGTATATCACAGAAGCTATATGCTATAAGGTTACTATTCACTCATTTGTCGTGTGATATATTGTGATATCACATATAAAGGTTGTGATAAGTTATTGTTCATTGCAAATATAAGTATTGGTTGATCAAGACCTGTGTGATATCCTATATGTAGTATTGTGCGATATATGTGCTTCAATGTTGATGTATTGTGCGACATACATGCATAGTCTTGTAGTGGTGTGCGATATACATGTAGCTGGACCCCCATGCTAAGTCGCAGTAGGGGGACACTCTTCATTTCTTTCTGTCAAAGTTTTCAAATCTTCTGATAATCATTTTGATTAACGATCATTTGGTCAAGTAACAAGCATTCATATTTTTTTAGTGTGTTCAAGAACTGATTTGTTGTTTTCGATTTTTTACAGGATTATATCAAAATGTCTAAAGAACTTAGAATAATTAAACTAGATACTCCTGAAGGTCAATACTATATGGGATGGGTAGAGACAACTACAAAACTTAATGATTTACATGAGAATACAAAGTTGTGGAAAATTAAAATCTTCAACTTAAGAAAAAGATCTCTGAGTTTGAAAATAAATCAGATTTTGAGAAAAAAGATTTTGACTATGAAAAGAAAAGTGGTGAGTACTCCAAGAAAATTTTTGAACTTGAAAAGGTTCTAGATAATGAGAAAAATAAATTTTAGCTTGAAAGAAAAGTTTTTGAA